TGAATTGATTTTGAAGTAAATACACTAGCCATTATTCCCACTATAATAATAAAAAAAAAAGGTAATCTACTAGATATAGAAGCATCCACTAAATATTTTCTAACCCAAGTCACTACATCAATATTTCTTATAATAGCCATCTGTTATCACTAACATGTTATACTGTGATTAATGAACTATTATAAGAATCTTCACTCCAACAGCATCTAGAGTAAAAACAATAGCTCTAACCATAAAACTATCTCTTAGGGAGTATGGGATTGATATGTACACGCTACTATATATAAAATGGATAACCTACAACAAGAACCTAGTGTATAGCACATGGAACTCTGCTCAATGTTATGTGGCCGCCTGGATGGGAGAGGAGTTTGGAGGAGAATGGATGCATGTATATATATGGCTGAGTCCTTTTGCTGTTCACCTGAAATGGCTATACTCCAATAGAAAAGGGAACTTTTTTTTTTTTAAAGAGGGATGTATATTAGCAAAAAAGGACTGCTGAACCATTTCACACCAGTTAGAATGGCTATCATCAAAAAGACAAGAAATAAGAAGTAGTGGTGAGGATGCAGAGCAAAGGGGGAACCCTGTTGCACTGTTGGCAGGATTGTAAGTTGATACATTCACTGTGGAAAACAGTATGGAGGTTCCTCAAAAAATTAAAAAGAGAACTACCCTATATATGACCCAGCAACCCCACTTCTGGGTCTACACCTGAAAAAGATGATAGTGGGATCTCAAAGAGATACCTGTACTCCTATGCTCACTGCTGCACCGTTCACAAGAGCCAAGGGATAGAAACAACCAAAATGTCCATTGAGGGAGTAATGGATAAAGAAACTGTGGTGTATATATATCCAGTGAAATGGTGTTCAGTCTCGAGAAAGAAGGAATCCTGCCATGTGTGACAATGTGGATGGATCTTGAGGGCACTGTGGTAAGAGAAAGAAATCAGAGAAAGACAAATACTGTATATCACATCTATATGGAATCTAAGAAAGTTGAACTCATGGAAACAGTAGAATGGTGGTTGCCAGCAGCTACAGGGTGAGAGAATATGAGGAGATGCTGGTCAAAGACTACAAACTTCCAGTTATAAAATGAGTAAGTTCCGGGGATATAACATACAGCAGGGTGACTACAGGTGACAATACTGTTACTAACAGAGTAAATCTTAAACGCTCTCAATGCATGCACACACACAAAAGATAATCATGTGAGGTGATATGTTAACTAACCTTATTGTGATAATCATTTTCTAGTGTATATGTATATCATGTTGTACACCTTAAACTTAAACCTTATGTGTCAGTTACCTATAAAGAAAGCCACAAATAGGAAAAGAAAAACTAAGACTATCTCCATTCCACTTCTGTGTACCTGAAGTTACATAAGGTATCTCATTAACAGCAGGCTTAATCTTATTAGCATGACAAAAACTTGCATCCTTGTCAGTATTACTCCCAAATCTCACCATGTCTCAGCCTAAACCCAGTATTATCATATCTATACTACTTATTGTAATTGGAGGATGAGGTGGACTAAACCAAACCCAACTACGAAAAATTACAGCTTACTCATCAATTGCTCACATATGGGGTAAGACCCATTATATTGCATAACCCAACTATAACAATCCTAAACCTATACTTTATAATAACACTTACCATATTCGTACTATTCATTTACAGCTCAGCTCACCATGACACTGTCACACACATAAAACAAAATACCCATTATTACAACCTCCATTCTCATCACACCATTATCAATAGATCTTCCACCACTATCATGCCAAAATGAATAATCATTCAAGAAATAACAGTATTATTTTACCCATTCTAATAGCTATCACAGAGTTACTCAACCTGTACTTCTACACACAACTCACATATTCTACAGCACTATATTTCCCTCCATAAATAATATAAAAATAAAATGACAATTTGATTTTACAAAACAACTTTCCTACCAACAGTAATCATATTATCCGCAACAATCTTACCCCTTACACCAATCCCTTCAGAAATGGGCTAGGAATTGGAAGTTATACAAACCAGGAGCCTTCAAAGCCCTAAGCAAGTATAATTTACTTAATTCCTGCTCAATGAAGACTGCAAGACTCTATCCTACATCAGCTGAATGCAAATCAAACACTTTAATTAAGCTAAATCCTTACTGGATTGGTGGGATTACACGTCCCACAAAACTTTCAGTTAACAAGTAAATACCCTAGTCAACTGGCTTCAATCTGCTTCTCCCTACTTCTCCTGCTGCCAGAAAATAAAAAAGGCGGGGGGGCACAGAAGCCGCAACAGAATTGAAGCTGTATTCTTTGAATCTGCGATTCAATAAGCAAAATTCATCACAGGACTAGGCAAAAAGAGGACTCCATCCCATCTTTAGACATACAGTCTAATGCTTACTCAGCCATTGTATCTTATGTTCATAAACCACTGACTATTCTTAATTGGCCATAAAAATACTGGTAAGTTATACTTACTGTTTGGTGCTTGGGACTTGTTAATTTGTGCTGGAACACTGCTTGGAGATGATCAGATTTACAATGCCGTTTTAACAGCCCAGACATTTGTAATAATTTTCTTTATAGTTATGAGTATTGCAATTGGAGGCTTTGGGCACTGACCAGAGCCACTAAAGATTGGGGCACCCGACACAGCCTTTCCCTGTATAATATAAGCTTCCAATTACTCCCACCCTCCTTCCTACTTCTACTTGCATCATCATCAATAGTTGAAGCCAATGCCAGTACAGACTCAACTGTATATCCACCCTTAGCTGGAATCGTGGCTCACACTGGAGCTTCAGTAGACCCTACCAACTTGTCCCTACATCGAGAGGGTATTTCCTCAATTTTGGGTACTTTTAATTTTACTACCATTATAAGTATAAAACCACCCACTATATTCCACCATTATTTTGTGTGACCAGTTTTAATTATAACTATATTGTTGCTATGGTTATTGTTTAGTCACTAAGTCATGTCCGACTCTTTGCAATCCCATGAACTGCAGTGCACCAGGCTTCCCTGTCCTTCACTATGTCCCAGAATTTGCTCAAGCTCATGTCCATTGAGTTGGTGATGGTATCCAACCATCTCATTGCTACTATTAGCATTACCTGTATTAGCAGCTGGGATTACCATGTTATTAACAGACGAAACCCTAAACACAATCTTTTTTTCACTAGGCAGGAAGGAGGTGAGCCAATAGTATATCAACACCTATTCTGATTCTTCGGACACCTTGAAGTTTATATTCTGATTTTACCTGCATCTGGAATAATCTTGCATATTGTAACATATTATTCAGGAAAGAAGAGCCTTTGGGATATACGGGTATAGCATGAGCCATAATATCAACTGGATTCTTAGGAGTCGTTGTATGAGCTCACCATATGTTCCAAAGGTATAGATGTTGACACACAAGTATATTTTACATTAGCCACTATATTTATTGCTGTTCCCACAGGAGTGAAAGTATGTAGTTGACTAGCAATCCTTCATGGAGGTAATATCAAATAATCTCCTGCAATAATAGTGAGCCCTAGGCTTCATTTTTCTTTTTACAATAGGTGGATTAACAGGTATTGCCCTAGCTAACTCATCACTACACACTGTCCTTCACGATACACATTATGTAATTGTACACTTCCACTATGTATTACCTGTAGCAGCAGTATTCGCTATTATGGGAGATTTTGTATATTGATTCTCACTGTTCTCAGGATATACACTCAACATGAAGCAAAACTTTACTTTGTAATGATATTTGTAGGTGTAAATATAACCTTCTTCCCACAACATTTCCTAGGTCTACCTGGAATACCATGACAATATTCGGACAACTCAGATACATACAGAACGTCAAATACTAACTGCAGTAATATTAGCAATTTTCATAATTTCAGAGGCATTCACATAAAATGAGAAGTCTCAACAGTAGAGTTAACATACCTCCTGGGAGAATGTGGACGAGGCCAAAAGAGGGAGGAGCCGACAACCTCCCAGAATCTTTCACGCTGGAATCCATTCTGGCTGAGAGACGCGCACGTCACCAGGAAGGACCACGAGTCAGATTATCAGCCAAGCAAGATGACCAGCCAGAGACAGCCCAGAAACTAACTCCTTACCTTAAAACCCGAGACTGTGAGCCATGGAGCAGGGCAGTTCTTGTGGGCTCCCTTCCCAATAAAGTCTTTTGCTGTGTCAGCACGTCTGTCTCCGCAGACAACTCATTTCGGAGAGCCCACTCGGGGGCCTTGGAAGGCCCTGCGACACCTGCGCCGCGGCCTCCTCACAGTGCTGCAGTCTCCCTGGCCAACACACTTGTTCTTCAAACACCCGAACGCCTGTCCCAGGGCCTCTGCCTGTATTCCTTCTGACTAGCAGGCCCCACGCCACCAATCTCCAGTTTAACATCCTGATTATTCCTTCACTGTACTTAAAGCTGAGCATGTTCAGTTTCTGTCCATTGTCTCCACCTGAGCGTAAACTCCCTAAGAAAACCTCCCTTATTAGCACTTCTCACCATGTAGCTCAGAACAGAAGGGTGTGAGGAATGCGTGCTGAGCAAATGAGTAAGATTTCAGCTAGAAAACAAGTGGAAAATGCCGAGAGATGAAGCTGATTCTGTAGTCCAGCATCAAGTGCCCTTTCTCCTGGCCCCTGGGCCCCGACCGTGTCCAGGACGAGTCCATCCCCGTCCAATCGTCAGGAGGAGCAGCACCAGCCCCTGCAGAGACTCACCTTGGGCAAGTCCTGTGTGTGGTGTCTGGTCCTCACACCAGCCTTCCACGCAGGAACTGTGTATCCCCGTTTTGCAGATGGGAAAACTGAGGCTCACAGAGCTGACATGAATGGCACAGTTACGCTTTGAACCAGAAACCTGGAGCCACAGCCTGTGCTAGGTACATCAAGAGGGAGGCCGTGCTGGCCACAGACCATCTCTCCCAAAGTCATGGATGAGCACACCCACCTGTGAACTTCCAGAGCCACTCCAGGCCGATCCAGGCCTTCCTCAGGGGCTTCTGTGCAGAGTGGAGGGTGATGGGGCGGGTGCATGCCTGCTGGATATACACCTCCAGGTGGTCTTGGAGGTTCTGGCCAACTCCTGAAACCAGAGGGGATGGTTAGGAAGACGTCTCCCAAAGGGGCTTGCTTGGCTGGCCTCTCAACATCCCCCTGGTTTTGAAAACTCTCCTCCTTCATCCACTTATGTGCCAGGCCAGCTCCTGCTCATTCCCAGGAACCCCATTCCCGCACTCCCAGCCGCGTCTGGCCCTCTTGGATGCTGCCAGAGCTGCCTGCCCCTGCCCCTCGCTCCCAGGTATACCACCTGTAACCACCCAGGTGCCTTCCTGCCAAGCAGTCCTCCCCCCCAGGCCTGTAGCTGGCACTGCTCAGTCAGCTGCCCCTGGCTGGGGAAGGAGGGAAGCAGGCCCGTCATGCTGAGCCCATCCAAGCTCAAGGGGACGCTGGCAGTTCACTGCCATGGACCAGCACTTTCACAGGCCTCTCACAATAAAGCCTCTGGCCCTCTCATAAATAAGCAGTTTGATTTGGCAGAGACACCTCTGGGGCGCAGCGGGGAAGGGGGCTCACCAGGAAGGTGGCACACCACCGGGATGCCCAGTTTCCTGAGGTCGTCGGCATTGCCCACACCCGACAGCATGAGCAGCTGCGGAGAGTTGATGGCCCCTCCACTCAGAATCACCTCCTTGCTGGCATAAGCCTGGAAGAGGCAGAGGGCCACGCAGGTCATGCTTCCCTTCCAGGAGAGCCCATCAGCACCGTGAGAACATGGCCTTGGCAGGACCGCTTGGGGATCCTGCTCAAGGCCCAGAGGGAGGAAGCGGATGCTCAGGGCGCCACTAGGGGAAGGGTGGGTGCAGGTACAGCGTGCAGGGTGGGTGTGAGCATAAATATTCTGATATTTTCTGCCACAGCCAGAAAGTAATGATGGTCCTGAAATAAGTACTGTAGTGCTTAAATGAGATAAAGGAAGCAAGCACTCAAACGAGCAGTTTAAAATAAAGCCTGTGGTGAGCCAGATCTTCACATGGGATGCAGGACAGTCCGCACACGCTGCTAAGTGGAACACAGCACAGTGCAGAGATACGGAGTGTGATCACAGATATGGTTCTTACCTGAGCTGAAAGTCACTCAGTCATGTCCGACTCTTTGTGACCTCATGGACTGTAGCTCGCCAGGCTCCTCTGTCCATGGAATTTCCAGGCCAAGAATACTGGAGTGGGTTGCCTTTTCCTACTCTAGGGGATCTTCCTGACCCAGGGATCAAACTCGGGTCTCCTTCATTGCAGGCAGATTCTTTACCATCTGAGTCACTAGGGAAGCCCAATATGGTTTTTAAAGCCTCTAACATAAACCTATCAATTTCTGGACAAGTGTGGAAGGCAGTAGCAGACAGGTTCAGGAGGGTGCTCATGCCAGAACATCACCAGCCGGCGGCCAGACTGGGGCTCCCTCCCTTCTAACAGGCCACTGCCTCCTGCCAGGCCTGGGGACAGTCTCTCAGGCTGTTGCTAGCAGCCACTCACTCCTTATCACCATGTTGATGGAGACAAGATCATGACTCCTGCCCAGCCACACTGACGGTGACCTCGGGGTCACTGCCTGCTCCCTCCCGGCCAAGTGAGCTGCTCAGGCCTGGTGGTAATTCACTCACCCTGTGGCTCTGGCCGTTCTTGATGTACTCCACACCCACCGCACGGGTGCCTTCAAACAGAACCCTGCTCACAAACGTCTGGGTCTCGGCTGTGAGGTTGGGGCGGCTCAGTGCTGGGTGCAGGTACGCGCAGGCCGTGCTCCAGCGCTTGCCTGCAGAACAGAGCAAGATCAGTCAAGCCCACGCCAGTTCCCTGGTTACTGGTCATACAGGGGGAGGTAGCTAAGGACAGGATTAAGAGCCAGTTTGCCCTTCCCCTGACTGTAAGCTCTGTCTTCAAAGGAAGACTGAGACCCAGATGCCCTGTGCAACTGAAATCCACATCAACCTGGGGCCCCTGGATGCAGGTGGGCATCCTCTCATCCTTCAGAGGATGAGATGACAAAGGCCAGGAGAGGCTGATGATGAGAGTCCTGGGTCCAACCTGGCTGTGCCTCCGCCCTGCTGCCAGCAAGGCCAGTCACTGCTCTGTGCCTCAGCATACCCTTGTGTAGGCTCTGAAACCCGGGGCTATGTGGCCGGAGAGCTGACTCTTCATTATCCACATCAAATGGGACCAGAGGATGCCTAAGGTGTCGCCACCTCCCGGTCACTTCTCACTGGCTTTGGGTGGTATCCTGTGGGCTCTCGCCGGTGCAATCTGTCACATCCTCTCCACCTCAAACCAGCCCCAGTCTGTCCACACTTACTGACCACAACCGGATGCGGGGCGGGGGCCGGAGGGATGGGGCTGTGATAGAACAGCTTCTCGTTTTTAAAGGAGGAACCTGGGAGACAGGGAATCAGGAGGCTCGCCCCTACCTTCGTGGATGGTCATGTCCATCCAGCCGAAGCCCTCTTGCTGGAAGCCGTTCATGTCCTCGGTGAGGGGGTAGCCGGCCTGCTGTGCCGCCTCCAGGAACGCGCGGTGCAGCGGATGGCCGCTCTTGCCCCGGGACACGCGCAGGGGCCCGTCGCCGCCGCGGTACCTGCCGGCGCCCAGCTCGTGCGCCTGCGCCCTGCGGAAGTAGGGCAGGCAGTGCGCGTAGCCCCAGCCCGCGGCGCCCTGGCGCTGCCAGCGCTCGTAGTCCTCGGCGTGCCCGCGCACGTAGACCATGGCGTTCAGCGACGACGAGCCGCCCCAGACGCGGCCCCGCGGCCAGTACAGCACGCGACCATCCAGGCCCGCCTGCGGCTCGGTGTGGTAGCACCAGTTGTACGTGTCGTCGCACAGGTTGGCCACGAGGGCCGCGGGCATGTGGATCTTCCACCGGAGCCGCTTGCTCCCCGCGTACACGTCCTTGGGCCCGGCCTCCAGCAGCAGCACACGCTGGTCAGGGTCCTCCGTGAGCCGGCCGGCCAGCACGCAGCCGGCGGAGCCCGCACCCACCACCACGTGGCTGTATTCGCCCCGGCTCCGCGGGCGCTTGCTGGCCAGAGCGCGGAGGCCCCGGGGGCCCTGCGTCCCCAGGGCTCCCCATGGGCCCAGGCAGCCTCCCCGCCAGCCTCGCAGGACGCACCACATGCTTCCAGCCCGAGTTCTTACTTCCACCGAGGGAAATGTGATGATTCACTTGCCCTAAACATAGAAAAAGAGGGTTTGCAAAGTTTAACTCGGCATGCACGTACAGAACCGGTGCCCACCTGGCGCTGGGTGCAGCAGGCCTGGGTGGCACGTTCCTGGGGAACCAGGAGGAGCGAACACAAGCAGGAATATCAGTCCTGGGGATCAGCGCCAGAAGCGACAAACCCAGGGCTGGGGGCAAAGGAGGCTCCTCTCCACCTGCGGGGCATGGGGGGCGGTCCCCAGAAAGGCTTCCCTGACATCCGTCCAGGAACCTGGAGGTGGGGGCAGGACTGTACCTGCCAGAAAGCAGGGGCCTGAGGGCCGTCCATGTTTGCCCTGACTCCTCATCCACTCAAGACGGAGAAAGTCGCTGAGGCCCCACCACATGCCAGGCACCATGTGGTCCTCTCTAGGAATACCCAGAGAACAAGACATCTGCCCTCAAAACTGATGGTCTGGGACCTGGGAGACAGACAAGACTTATATAAATAACCAAATTAAGGTCAAGGTGAGAGGCTGGAGACTATAGCTTACAGCCTTTGACCTGAGGGCCCCAGAGTGCAGGAGAAGGGTTTGCAGCAGGGGATGGGGTCAGAGCCACAATCTTCAAAGATCACTCTGTCCAGCACCAGAGTTTTAACAAACGTCAGGAACTTCTGGAGGGTCCTTCCCCAACAATGTTCACCTCGATTCCAGCATGCTCAGCACACACGGGGAGAAGAGCCACGACATCCGTCAGGACCTGCGCTGACACAGGACCTCTGAGCAACTGAGGCACACAAGGCCTGCCCAGGACTGAGGCCGGATCGGAGAACTGGAAACGCTCAGTAAACCCTGAGAACTCCCCACCTCTTCTACAATCCTGCGCCAAGTCCCCAGCAGCCTACTGCAGGAAGCAGGCTAAGAAGAGAGTGGAGAGAGAAAGATTCCAAACCCCCCACCCCCACCCCCTTCCTGCAAGCACAGGAGACCAGCAGGGCCTCCTAGAAACTAAATCTGAAGCAGGAATACTGAGAACCTTCCAGTGTTTCAGGCCTCATGCTAGCACAAGGCAGCAGCAGCCCACTGCTCAACTCCCAACTGGGCTGACTTCAACACTCACACTGATGACCTGACAGAATAAAAGGCAGGGATAGACACTGTTCACCCTCCAGTCCCTATTATCCTGTTACACACAAGGTCATGCATATGTAAGAAAGGTCCCGCATACTCATTATAAAGAGAAAAGTAGTGAACAGAAGCAAATCAAGGGGGTGACCCATCCAAGATGGTACAACTATCACAGACTTCAAAGTAACAAAGTTTAAAGTTCTGAAAGATTTAGCTGAAAAGGTGGACATGTTGAACAGATAGGCAATTTCAGCAAAAAGTTGACAATAAAAAAAGGCACAACTGCTACAAATTATAAAAAAAAAAATAACAAAAAAAAAAAAATTGAACCGAAAAGGCAAAAAAAAAAAGGAAAACGAAAAACAAGGTAAGAAAAAATAACCAAAGGAAAAAAAAAACAAAAAAAAAAAGAAAAGAACAGAACAGAACAGCTGAGAGCTATGGGATGAGACCAAACCATCTAAAGTATACACAGCTTGAGTCCAAGCAGGAGGAGAGGGATTCAGGGAAAAAGAGGAGGCGGGGAGAGGAGGAGCAGCAGAAGGGGAAGGGGAGAGGCGGGGAGGGAGAAGGACAGAGGGAGCACAGGGGAGGAAAGATATCTGAAGAGATAATTGCTTAGACTTCCAAAAATTAATACTAGACAAAAATATCACAGATTCAAGAAGCTTAGAACATCCCAAGCAAGATTAATAGAACGAGAAACACACCTAAGGTATATCAAACTGCTGAAATCCCAGATCATCAAAGGAGCCAGCCCCCTGTGAAAACATATGTACAGAGGAATAAATTTAAGAGTGCCTTGCAACTTCTTATCAGAACACATACAACCCAGTGGGAGGGGGGTCTGGGGGAGAATGGATACACGCATATGGATGGCTGAGTCCCTTCACTGTTCACCTGGAACTATCACAACTTTGTTAATCAGCTATACCCCGATACAAAATAAAAAGCTAAAAGAAAAAAAAAAAAAACTCAGATATGATCTTTTGGATGTTTTATACCACCCTGTTGAAAATCACTGAATTAAATACATTAGTGTCATAGCATTAAAAAAAAAGAAAAAAAGAAACATACAATCTAGGATCAGATCAAGATGGTGGGGGAAAGCAAGAAAATCATGTAACAGTAGGATCAAAGGAGAAAAACAGAAAAACAAAGGAATCGGGACAAAAGCTGGGCCCCCAGGAAGGAGCTGTGAAACATGATGTTTCTGCCTCACTGGTGCAGTGATCTGCCTAGACAGATGGGAAGCCTCGGGGCCTCAGAGGAGAGCACGGTAGCCAGCTTGCACAGAACGGAGCAGAGAAAGACCCGCAGAGACAGTGGGTGCCACCACCCAGCACTCCCCGGCCTGAGACATTCATCCTCTGGCGTGGGTGGGGGCTGGGTGCTGTGGCTCCGGCTTCAGAGACCAGACCTGGAGCAAGGACTGGGGTTGGCTGTGTGGTGACAGCCTGAGCGGGTAGGGAAGAAGCCTCTACCTGCCAGAGAGTCAAGGGACCATTGTTGGGGGGCATACAAGGTACTGCACAACTGCACTCATTTCACATGCCAGCTCAGTAATGGTCAAGATCCTTCAAGCCAGGCTTCAACAGTACGTTAACTGAGAACTTCCAGATGTACAAACTGGATTTAGAAAAGGCAGAGGAACTAGAGATCAAATTGTCAACATCCATTGAATCATAGAAAAAGCAAGAAAATCTCAGAAAAACATCTCTTCTTCATTGACTATACCAAAGCCTTATACTGTGTGGATCACAACAAACTGGAAAATTCTTAGAGATGGAATACCAGACCACCTGACCTGCCTCCTGGAGAAACCTGTATGCAGGTCAAGAAGCAACAGAACTGGACATGTAACAGTGGACTGGTTCAAGATTGGAAAAGAAGTACATTGAGACTGTATATTGTCACCCTGCTTATTTCACTTTATATGCAGAGTACATCATGAGAAATGCTGACATGGATAAAGCTCAAGCTGGAATCAAGATTGCCAGGAGAAATACCAATAACCTCAGATATGCAGATGACACCACCCTTATGGCAGAAAGCAAAGAACTAAAGTGCCTCTTGATGAAGGTGAAAGAGGAGAATGAAAACGCTGGCTTAAAAACTCAACATTCAAAAAAAAGATCATGGCATCTGGTCTCATCACTTCATGGCAAATAGATGGGCAATCAATGGAAACAGTGACAGACTTTATATTCTTGGGCTCCAAAATCACTGCAGATGGTGACTGAAGGCATGAAATTAAAAGATGCTTGCCCCTTGGAAGAAGAGCAATGACAAATCTAGACAGCATATTAAAAAGCAGAGGCATTACTTTGCCAACACAGATCCGTCTAGTCAAAGCTATGGTTTTTCCAGGAGTCATGTATGGATGCGAGAGTTGGACCATAAAGAAGGCTGAACACCAAAGGATTGATGCTTTTGAATTGTGGTGTTGGAGAAGATTCTTAAGAGTCCCTTGGACTGCAAGGAGATTAAACCAATCAATCTTAAAGGAAATCAATCCTAAACATTCATTGGAAAGACTGATGCTGAAGCTCCAATACTCTGGCCACCTGATATGAAGGTGGTCTTTTCATTAGAAAAGATCCTGATGCTGGGAAAGATTGAAGGCAGGAGGAAAAGGGGACGCCAGAGGATGAGATGATTGGATGGCATCACAGACGCAATGGACAAGAGTTCAAACAAACTCCGGGAGATGGTGAAGGACAAGGAAACCTGGGGTGCTGCGGTCCATGGGGCCACAAAGAACTGGACACGACTGAGCAACTGAACAGCAACAACACCACAAGGAGAGGGGTGGGACTGCCAAAGGAGTTTCTTTCTCCACGCGCCCGCTCTCAGGGGGCAGGGCACCACTTCCACAAGCTCCAGGGGTGGGAACAGGTGCCACCGCTGCCATCTCAGGCTCCAGAGGTGGGCAGGAACTGCTGCCACCGCCGAGGGTCACACGACTGGGTGCCCCTGCCTCTCTGGGAGTGCGTGAGGGTCACACAGCTGCACATCCCTTGTCGGGAATAATGGTCAGCACATGCTGAGGAAAGAGACAGCAAGCATCCAAACCAAAAACAATCCTCGTCCCCAAAAAATATTAAACCCACACAAGCTATCCAGGGGCACTCCTGCATATAAGAAGCCACCTAAGACTATAGTAGATGATTGTTTCTCCCAAACTTACAAAGTAAGAGAAACACAAGCAAAATGAAGAACAGAGGAACCACTCCCAGTTAAAGGACCAAGAGAATTCCCCTGCAGGAATAAACAAGGACACAGGCCTCTTCAGTCTAACAAACACCAAGTTCAAAAAGGAGGTAATGAAGATACTGAAGGAATTAAGGAAAGTTATCGAAAGAAATGCAGATGACTGTAAAAAAAGAGCTAGAAACTATAAGGAGGAGCCAAGAAAAATGAGAAAATTCATTTGCTGAGATGAAAGCTGAGCTAAAGGCAATGAACAGCAGAATGAATAATGCAGAAGAAAGAACAGTGACCTGTTAGATAGAATAATGGAAATTATCTAATCAGAAACAAACAGATTGAAAGCCAAGTGAAAAAAGAAAGAAAGCAATGTATGATAACATAAAGTGTGCCAGTCTACACATAATAGGGATTCCAGAAGGAGAAGAAAGAGGAATTGAAAATGTATGTGAATAAATTATGGCTGAAAATTTCCCAACCCTAAAGAAGGACACAGATATTCAGACGCAGGAAGCATGAAGTGTCTCAAACAAGATGAGCCCAAACAGACCTACACCAAGACATATGGTAATAAAAAGGGCAAGGAACCCACGTGCAGTGCAGAAGACACAAGAGATATGGACTCAATCCATGGGTGGGGAAGACACCCTGGAGCAGGAAATGGCAACCCACTCCATTATTCCTGCCTGGAAAAT